AAATAAAATAAATAAATAAAATAAATAAAATAAAATCTTAAAAAAATAAATAAAATCTTTAAAAAAAAAATAATTTAGAGAGCTCCAGTGGGGGGAGGGGCAGAGGTGGGGGTGGAGAATCTCAAACAGACTCTGCGCTGAGTGTGGAGCCCCATGTAGAGCTTGATCTCCTGACCCTGAGATCATGACCTGAGCCAAAATCAAGTGTCACTGAGCCAGCCAGGCACCCCCTTAGTATTTTCTATATACAAGATCATGTCATCTGTGAATAGAGATAGTTTCACTTCTTACTTTCCAGTTTGGATGTTGATTATATAGTTTTTCTTTTTCTTTTTCTTTTTCTTTTGCCTAACTGTTCTGGCTAGAACATCCAGCACAGTGATAAATAGAAATGATGACAGTGGTTAGTTTTATTCCTTATTTTATGGACAAAGTATCTGGTTTTCCATTAATAAGAATATTATTACCTGTGGTTTTTTTGTAGCTGCCCTTTATCATGTTGAGGAATTTCCCTTCTATCTAGTTTATTGTTTTTTTTTTTTTTTCTAATTTTTAATCAAGAAAGTGTTTGGAATTTTGTCAAATGCTTTCTTTATGTCTGTTGAATTGATAATATGGTTTTTGTTTTTATTCTATTCCTCTGGTGTATTATAGGCATTGATTTTTGGATAAACCAACTTTACTGTAATCCCACCAGGTCATGATGTATAATTCTTTTTTTTTTTACGTTGTTGGATTTGGCTTGCTAGTCTTTTTGAGAATTTTTGTATCTATATTCATAAGCTATATTGGTCTGTAATTGTCTTGTGATGTCTTTGGTTTTGTTGTTGGGGTAATACTAGCCTCGTAGAATAAGTTGAGAAGTGTCCCCTCTCCTATATTAAGAGTTTCTGAAGAATTAGTATTAATTCTTCTTTAATGGCAGAATTCACAGCTGAAGCCATCTGGACCTGGGCTTTTCCTTGTGTAGCTTCTTGATTACTAATTCAGTTTTTTTATTTATTATAGATCTTTTTAGATTTTCCATTTCTTAGAGTCAGTTTTGGTAGTTTGTGTATTGCTAGAAATTGTCCATTTCATCCAAGCTCTTTAATTTATTGGCACCCAGTTGTTCATACTATTGGAACGTAGCTCATTGTAACCAAACAGTGCTGCAGGGAACATCCATCCTTGTGCTCACACGGAAGCGTGTTTATAGCACAGATCCCTAAAAGAGGAATCACTGGGTCAGACGTCTGCATGTGTAATTGTTGATTGTTTCTGCCCTTTTGTCCTCTTCCTGCTCATCTTTCTAGCCTTATTGATTTGTGTAAATTCTTTCCGTCTAGGAATCTTGGTCTCCTGGAGAATGGAGTTGGTAAGGGTGCACAGAGCCAGTGGGAAGGATAGGTTCGGGAGCTGTGTGTTTCACGGCTGCTTCTGGGCAAGGGTGCTCGATGTGGGTGCCTGAAGCTCGTCCTCCATGCTGTATGTTCACACGGGGGGTTTCCAGACCCTGGGACCTGAACCGCTGGGGATCGGAGACTGTTACCTCTGACGGGCCAGCTGTGGCCTGGGGGGAGCTCATTTTAAGCCCGGTGACTCCACAAAGGTCCTTCCCATGGTGGTTCTCTCTGGGAACTCTGTGGGCAGGGGGCTCCAGGTAACTCTGGCCCATTGCTGCCTGCAGCGGGAGGGAGGCATGCTCTTGCTACGCAGGAAGAAGTGACAAGGACCTCCTTGTTTTTCATCATCACAGCTTTCTTTCTTTCCTATTCATCCGGGGACTGTGTGCTGGGTGCTCATTAACCCATGGCTTGCCAGGGCCCAGATGTGGGCAGTGACGTGAGGACAAGGAAGTGTAGCCTATTTTTATGGACGGGGACATGGGGAAAGTGCTGAGAGGTCTCTGTGCGTGTTTGTTAGGGTAGAGCCTCTAGCCCGTCACCCCTCTGTTCCACTTCCTTTTTCTGCTTTTTGCCTTTACCTGGAATTTACAAGGGGGGCACCAGAGCAGGTTAAACGTTTGGACTTACATAGTTCGAGATTTTTAGAATCATCTCTCCAGGTCCCTGGAGACTCCAGTTCAGTGGTTTCCAGGCTTTGCTCACAAGCTCTTAGGGCCCCAAAGAGATTTTGGGGGCAAGGGGCCGGGGCAGGCATGTTAGGAGTTCAAGCCCCCAGGGGGGCTGTGCTTTCACTGGCTTTATATGTTGGAGTTCTAAGTGAGATGGCAGACCCAAGGGCCGTGTTGCCACAAAAGGCGGAAGACTACTTGTGTTGGTCACCTTGGCCCCACCGTTGGGCTGAGAACATCCCAAACAGGACTCCTCCTGCAGGCTGAATCCCGGGGCTGACAGGTGTCTTAGGGAACTTGGCTTTTCCCCGGGGCCTCACAGGCTCCTCTCTCTTGATGGAGACTGAGTGCCTGCTCTCCCCAGGGACATTTGCCAGCCTGGACGCGTGTCATTTTTTCTTTTGTTGTAGGGGGTGTTCTGGCCCTCCAGCCCTGCAAAGGCAAAATCAAATGACCTTGTCTCTTGATCCAAATGACTCTTGTCTCCGGGGAAGCCCTGGGCTAGGCTTACAGACAGTTGGTGAGGAGACTTTCTCAGCAGACCTCCTGGCTGATGCGTCCTCTTTGTGTCTTTCAGTCGGCGGAGTTCTTCGAGATGCTGGAGAAAATGCAGGTGAGCATCCCCAAACGGCTTCGGTGGGGAGGCTGAGCCCTGGGTGGGGGGCATGCTGCAGTGACCGTGGGGGCAACACCACCAGGCAGAACTTGGGAGCCTTGGAGGGAGGGGCAGAGAAGAGAGAACTCCCAGTCTGCTGGCTGGGACTACCTCGGGTCGTTTTTGTGGTGAGTGGCACCAAGGATTCTGGGAAGGCTCCTGCCTGAAGAAGGGGAGTAGATAGAAAGCAGAAGTCCTCCAGCAGAGCAGATGGGGATACCATAACCCCACAGATGTGGGGAGGGCTTGAAAGGGTCCATTGTTCCTGGAATGGGTGGGAAAGAAAGTCTGAAAAAGGAAGCCCTTTTGTAGTGGAGGTCATCTTGTGTGTGGGAGGCAGAGCTGAGGGGGAGAGACCCACTGGGGGTCAAAGCCGCACCTAACGCTCATTAGCACAAGTTCTTTCCCTTTTCTGAGCCTCTGGCTCCTGTTTTTTGTCTATTCACAGTACCATTTTCACCTTCCTCCGACACCAAATGTGTGGTGGTTTCTCCCCCACCAAGCAATTCTGTGACACCAGCTGGGTGTCCTACAGTCAACTCCACTCTGACCCTGTCTGCCCAGAGAGCATGTCTGATCCCACAGGGCAAGGGCTCTGCCTCACAAGACCGCCTCTCCCCCACTTCAGATGCCATCATCACCAGCAGGCCGTAGATTTGAGGTTCCCTTGGCCCCCTGCTCAGGTTCGATTAATTTGCTAGCATGGCTCACAGAACCCAGAATCACTTACTTCCTGGGTTATCAGTTTATTATAAAGGGATATAATTCAGGAACAGCCAGATGGAAGAGTTGTAGGGGGCCAGGTGCTGTGGGGCTGGCCTCTGGATGTATCACTCTCCCTGTACTGCCATGTGCTCACCAACTGGAAGCTCCCTGAGCCTATTGTTTGGTTTTTTATGGAGGCTTCACTGCGTCGGCAGGATTGATTCACCCCGCAGCCCCTCTCCCCTCCCGGGAGGTTGGAGAGCTGGGACTGAACGTTCCAACCCTCTAATGGTTCCCCTGGCACCCAGCTCCATCCTTAGGGGTGTCCCCAAAGACACCTCATTCACAAACATATGAATAACGTTAGGGCTTTCACCTTTATAGCTCTGGAGCTGTTTCAGAACTAAGGACAGAAGACGGAGTATTGTAACAAAAGATGCTCCCAAATGTTCCCATTGCTCTCATCACTTAGGAAATTCAACAGGTTTTAGGAGTTCTGTGCCAGGAATGGGGTGAAGACCAAAATATTTATTTTTACAAATCATGCCACAGCCCTTATAAATAATAATTAAAATACCCGCATACACAGTTGTTGGGATGAAATGAGATAGTATATGTAAATACTTGCTAGGCACTGCAGAAAAATCAGTGTTCGGAATGGATTTGGGGGCCTTTCTAATCACCCCTCACCGAGGGGCCAGGGCTCACAGGTAAGAACTGCTGCCCTGGGGAATAATGGGGGGGGGCGTCCAGAAGTCTTAACTGATACAGGTGGGAAGGATGGGAAGAAGATGTTGATAATAACATATGTATTTTTTTTTAAAGGTTTTATTTATTTAGAAAGCATGAGTAGAAGTAGAGGGAGGGGCAGAGGGAGGGGGAGAGAGAATATCCCAAGCAGACTCTGCGCTAAGCAAGGAGCCCAATGCGGTGCTCAATCCCACGACCCTGAGATCATGACCTGAGCCAAAATCAAGAGTTGGATGCTTAACAGACTGAGCCACCCAGGCGCCCCTAGCTCATGTATTTTAAGCACTTTTCTCAGCTCAGACATTGACGAGTGTTAGTTCCTTTCTTCCTGGTAAAGCCCACAGGAAGCAGCTCTGTTATCATCATTGTCCCCTTCTGTGTGGACCGCAGACTAATTCTGTATACATTTAGGGACCTCAGTCAAGCTGTGGAAAGAGGATTGGCACGCGCTTTGACAGCGAGTGGCGGGAGGTAGTGTGTAATTACGAGCTCAGCTGCCTGGAGTAAAGCGGGGATTCTCACCCCGAGCCCATGGGGAAGCTGGCAGGGGATTTGCGGCTCACCCTGCCTTCCCTTCATTTGTTCCCACAACCCACCGGTCCCTCGCCCCCTGCGGGAGACCCCTGCCTCTCCCACAGAGCGCTCTCTGAGCACATAATTCAGCCTCACTTGATTGGCCTCCATTGTTTCTGTTACTAGACTGCTGGGCTTGACTTCTCAACCAGATTGGGACCCTCTTGAGGGCAGGCGTCTGGTTCCTATGCTCCCTCTGTATGTTCGTGGCAGCAGACATCCAAGGGTCTGCCTATTTCATCTCCGTTGAGACTGCCAGGGGCTGAAATCAAACTTCCCGGGGTTTAGGTCCCTGCCTTGTGCCCCGCTGGACCCCAGCCTCTGAGAGGCCCACAGTTTCCAGCTCCTCTGTATGTACACAACTCACATACGGGGAAATACTGGGAGTGAAGCAGGTGGTGTGGTGTGGCCAGATCCTGTCCTTGAGTGTGGGTGCCACCTCTTCTCAGGCTGTGTCTGTGGAGACTGGGTCTCAGAGCCGTCAAGTGCCCAGGGTACTCTGTGAGTCGTGGGGAGCTGAAACTCAGATCCGGGGCTTCCCCCTCCCCCGAGAGTGGAGGAATTGGAAGAAGGGCACAGTCCCTATGATATAGACTAAGTATACAAGATTTGGGTCTGTTTGGTCCTGGGTTCAAAGTCTTAACCCTGACACTGTCTAGCTGAGTGTCCTTGGTCAAGTCTCTCTACCTCTCTGATCCTCTATTTCTTCATGGTAGGGAAAAGGGGAGATAGTGATAATGCCTATTGCAAAGGCAGACACAGAACTGGGTGGTGGCTCTGTCAGAGAGGGAAGGGGGAGGGAAGAGGTTTGCTTTCCTGCCCAGGTGCTGTTCCCAGGTAGGGGTGACTCATGCAGGACAAACAAAACAAACTCCTGACATCACCCCCCTCCCCATCTGCCCAGTTTGCTTCCCTGGACAGGGTCTGCCGGGCCACCCAGGTGGTTTTCTCCCTGTGTGGGGAGAGGAGCACCTGTCCAGTGGGAGGGGTCCTCCCACGCCCTCCTGAGCAATGCTACAGGGTGACTCAACCCCGCGAAGTCCAGAGAAGCCGAAGTCTAAATCCGACTGAGCAGGAGCCCTGGGCTCAAGGGCCTGTGGGATATGATCGTGCACTTGGACAGCCCAGCTTCAAATCCAGGCCCTGCTACTCGCTAGCTGTGCAACATCAGAAGCAGCCTGCTCCTTGTACCTCAGTTTCCCCTTGGTATAAAGGTGCTGGGGGCTTCATAGGAGACAACGGTGGCAAGGTGCTGAGGAAGCTTAAAATCCCCATGTTATGATTAGGATGGTCTTCTCTCCTAGTTGTCCCACCATTTCATACCCTTATTTAATTTATTCAAGCAATCTAATTTATTCAGTCGTGTGCTCCCCTCTTTTATTTATTTATTTTTATTCTTATGTTAATCCCCATACCTTACATCATTAGTTTTAGATGAAGTGTTCCATGATTCATTGTTTGTGCATAACACCCAGTGCTCCATGCAGAATGTGCCCTCCTCAATACCCACCACCAGGATAACCCATCCTCCCACCCCCCTCCCCTCTAGAACCCTCAGTTTGTTTTTCAGAGTCCATCATCTCTCATGGTTCGTCTACCCCTCCGATTTCCCCCGCTTCATTCTTCCCCTCCCGCTACCTTCTTCTTCTTCTTTTTTTTTTCTTAACATATATTGCATTATTTGTTTCAGAGGTACAGATCTGAGATTCAACAGTCTTGCACAATTCACAGCGCTTACCAGAGCGTGTGCTCCCCTCTTGAAAAAAAAACAATTAAGTCCGATCTTGACCATAGGACCACTGGACAAGGCACAGCTTCCCAGAAGCAAATGAGCCCCAGGCCCCCTGCCTGTCACCTGCGGGTCTGCACCCTGAGGAGGGAGAGGAGCTATGGTGGCAACAGTCCAGAGTGCTGGCTTTGACACCATTCAGATGTGGGTCCCCACCCTTGCCCCATACCTGCTGGTTCTGAGGGCCTGGCAGAGAGATTTCCGTGCCAGGATGACAACACTGCCTGGTAATATTGGTAATAATGACCTATAGCAAAACTAGTCCCTTTCTAGGGCTTAGCACATCCTGCACATTTAACCTTTACCACAATAGTAGCTGCTGTCACCGACCCCGTTTTGCAGATGGGAAGACTGAGCCACAAAGGTTTGGGACTTGCCCAAGGTCGTAAGTGGCAGTATTGGGATTTGAACCCTGGTGCTCTGGCTCGAGTCTATGCTCTTCCCTGCCTGTCCTCCTGCCTTACTTGGAGCTGCCGTGAGGACTGAGTGTGACAAGGTGTGTGATGTGTAAGGACCCGGCACACATCCGCTATTGCTGTTATTACCAACCCTAACAAGTCAGGTGTTTGAGAATCCCAAGGGAACCCTCCATTTGGCCCCTATTTTATGACCTTTTCTCTTTCATGGATCCTCTTTTCCTTGTTTCCACAGGGGATCAAGCTTGAAGAGCAGAAGCCGGGCCCCCAGAAGAACAAGGTGGGCTGTGTGGATGAGGTGGCAGCCCGGTGGGCCCGGCATGGGGACGGCGTGCTGGGGTCTGTGGTCTTCCATCTGCCTTTCACCAAGAGCTCCTTAAGTGGTTGTGCCCGTGTTCACTGGTGCACGGTGGGCAGTAGCAAGGCCCTGACTTGATGCCTTTAGGGGGCAGCCTTGGCGTGGAAGGCTGGGGTGGAAGCGTTGGGTGAGACCTAAGGCCTGTGGCTCAGCCTAGCTCTTCTGTACCTGCTTCTGCAAACAAACCACACATGGCATTTCGGGGTATCAGGCTTTGGGTCCAGTGATCCTCAGCTCTCAGCTTCAGTTTCTTTTCCCAAGGCCGAGGGGTGCGGCTCATCACTTGGAGGTCAGCTCTTTTGCCTGAAGGCAGGGCTGGGTGGGATCAGGGGTCATCTTCCTGTTAAAGCTTCCTAAGGGGTGAGCTGACGTCATGCAAGGTGTGAAATTCAGAGCCTTTGTGTACTGCGTTCAGGTTCTGTCAGTTTGGGGAAGCACTCAAGGGAAGCCAGATCCCAGCTGCCTCTCTGCTGTTCTTCATCTGGTGTTCTCTTTGCTGCTCTCTCAAAGCTCGAGCACAGCCTGCCAAGCACTCCCACCCCCCGACCTGGGAGAATGGAAAAACAACCCTCAAACTTCACGGGCACTGCTGGGTCTAACGGCAGCCTTATCTGGTTTGTCTTGCAGGATGACTATATCCCGTACCCCAGCATTGATGAGGTAGGAGCCCCCTAGCCTCACCGTAGCCTGCCCTGGGTCTCATCTCTGGGGTGGGCTGGGGCAGCTGGTGGTGCTGAGGGCCCTTGCCCCACCCCACGTGAGCGAGAGCCTCAGGCCTGGGATTTTACCTTTGTGGCCTCAGTTTTGCCGTTTCCAGATGGGGTGCTGATCGAAGCCTTGCAACTCTGGTGCTCCAGGGTCAGTGAAGCTGGGAGATGTTGTTGGGCTTAAATTTGGGGTTTGTGTTACCGTATTTGGCCTCAACTACAGGGGTCTCCACCTTGGAGCAGTTCAGAGGCGGGGGATACCACCACTGGCACCCCTCCCCTGCCCTCCCCCTGTAGAGCCAGGGCTGGCCGAAGTGCAAGACCTTCTCTCTGCCTCCAGGTTGTGGAAAAGGGAGGCCCGTACCCCCTGATTGTCCTGCCCCAGTTTGGGGGCTATTGGATCGAGGACCCAGAGAACGTGGGGACGCCGACCTCCCTTGGCAGCAGCATCTGTGAGGAGGAGGAAGAGGACAGTGTCAGCCCCAGCACGTTTGGCTATAAGCTTGAGTGCAGGGGCGAAGCCAGGGCCTACCGCAGGCATTTCCTGGGGAAGGTGAGGCTGAGGGCCCTGCACGAAAGCAGCTGTGGGCCGGGCAGGGAAATGCACCTGGCCCGGCCTCCTCCAGCATCCCTGTCTCCGTCTCTCCTCCTTCCTGGGCCTGCCTCCTCCCTAGGGCCTGCCGCTGTCCTGCTGTCCTGGCTGGGGAAGTGCAACTAGCTCTGCTCCTGGGCGGGGGGATGGGGTGTGCAGAAGTCGGGAAGGCTCAGTGTGATGGGTCCTTGGGGGCACTACTCCCAGCAGATGTTCTCGGAGGTGATGGGATGGGTAGTGTTGGGGGGTGAAGAAGGGTGAAGGAGAAAATGTGTTCTCACGCCTTGGAAGTCTTTGTCACCATCTAAGTAGTCAAATCTCTCCTGTCCTCACTCCAGCAGGTCCCCAGGGCACTTGTACCAGATGAGATGAGCCTCTGATTGTTTACAAGTGGCAAAGTCACATTTCTTTAAATATATTCTGCTCTTCAGACTTGCCTGGTTTGGAAGTCCCGAGGGCAGGTTCCAGAAGTCTCCAGCCCAAGGCAGTTTTGCAGAGTCTCATCTGCATTGTTCAAATGCAGATTCCAGGGCCCCACGCTGATATGGCAGGTCTGGAGTGGGCTCCCTGAGCCTGAGGGAGGCCTGCTCTCCAGAAGACCTCCTAGCTCCCCATGCGTGGAGGAGCCAGGGTGCCTCCCAGCTTTATTCCTGCAAATGGTCTGAATCAGCCAGGGCTGCTCCCTGGGAGCAAGGAAGTGGATGTGTGGGGTCCTTGGAGAAGAACTTGAGCATCAGCGTTCAAGGTGGGCTTGAATGCTGGATCGGTCACTTACTGGTTGTGTGACCCTCGGCAGTTTCGTAATCTCCCTGGACACTGTTTACCTATCTGTGAAATGGGGATGATGATATCATCTCCCCCATAAAGTTGTGATATCATCTCCTCCATAAAGGAGTCAGTGTGTGTTAAGTCCTTAGTCCATTGCCTGGCACATCCCAACGCCTGGGCCATTGGAATCTATTCCTGTGACCTTGCTCCTTCCCCTTCATCCTCCTTCCTCCCTCCTCAGCAGCAGCAACCACAGCAGTAGCATCCTTGTCTTTCCTCCTCCTTGCTGCGGGGCATCTTGCTCCTGGTGAAGGAGGTGATTTGGGGGGCCATGTCTGGAAGGTCCCCTCCTCCCTGTTAATACCTGATTTCTGTTTCTAGGATCACCTAAACTTTTACTGTACTGGCAGCAGTTTGGGGAACTTGCTCCTGTCCATCAAGTGTGAGGAGGTGGAGGGCATGGAGTACCTTCGCATCATTCTCAGGTGGGGCTCTGCACCGTTGGAGGCCACACCTCTAGTGGCAGGGACCCAGAAATACCAGTCTGACCAGTCTGGTCTGGGTGTGCTGGGGGGAACAGACCAGCTGGAATCCTGGGGCTGTGTTCTGGTCGCCAGGCCAAGAGACCAAGTGTTTATGTCAGCCGGGGGATTGTGGGAGTCAGAGTGGTATCCTAGTCTCAAGGTCACCTAGGCCATACCCCCACCTGCCTTTCTGTCTTGTGGGGGTATGGCTGTGAAGGAGTTTGGAAGGAAAACTAGAGCTGGCTCATTCTGCTGAGCTACAACTCCACATCGTCCTGGGAGAGCGTTTGCCAGAACGCTGCCTGTGGTGTGCATCCCGTCGGGAAGATAGATCCCAAAGCATCTGTGTGTGTGCTGGGTTCCCCGAGATGGAAAGGTGTTCACAATGGGAGCACTAATTTACAGCTAAGCCAGGCTAGCTCTCTCTCCTCAAGGGCAGGAGCTAGAACTGGTTTCTGTTTTGTTCGACTAACATGTTTTGTAAAACCTCCTTTGTACCAGGAAGTGTAATAGGTGCTGGGGATGCAATGATGACTGAGTGGTGGTCTGTTTTCTAAAGGCTTCTGGTCTAGTGGGAGGAAAAAAACAGAGGATTTTAGTATGTGTCACAGGTATTATTTTAGTGATATGCACAGGATGCTGTGGGAGCACAGAGTCTGTGTCTCATATATCTCTGTCCCTGGTGGGCTGGTGGAAAAGCCTGGAAGGCCAAGTGTTAGTGCTTAGCAGAGTGCTATGAACCTGTCAAGCTCTCAGTATATAGTTGTTGAATCTAATTGGAAGTCCTTGATGGTATTTGGAAAAAAAGCAATAACATTTTTTTCTGCCCAAATTTTGAGATAGGTATGGGAGGGAGCAGGGGCACATAGCTGTGCTGTGGAGAGGGGTGTGTGTGCGGTACAAGGAAGTTGTCAGCACCCATCCAATCTTGGTTTTTTATTAAGAAAGGAAGCAGTTTTCTTTACTGAAGTTCACTTGGCTAGAAATCATATTTGCAAGGCAAGGAGAAGTTAACTAAATTGTTAGAGCAAATTTTTTGAGGGAGTGATATGTGGATCCCCAACTCCAAATAGGATTTCGAGCTAGGTGAATCTCTGTAAAGAAAATTATTTCCTTTCTTAGTAAAAATCAGACTTAGATTGGGTAGGATTTCTGAGTAAGATGATAATTGAACACAAGGATCTAACTCCTTTTTTCCAATATTATATCCTATCTGAAATACTGCTTCAGAACTGAAAACTAGAGAAAGATGTCAAGAACACAACACACACTTTGAATATTTTAAGAAATAATTTACGGGGCAGTTAGGACTATAACGTAGATGATATTGAGAGTTGAAATCCAGCTCACCTTCCTTAGACAGCAATGTAACATGGGGATATATGAAATTGGAGATTCTGGGAGGGTCTTGTACTCTTTAGAAGTGAGTGTGAGCCCTGGAATAGTCAGGAGTCTTTCCACATGGAACCACTTTTGTTGTTTTGGGTCAACAGCATTTGAAATAAATCCTGAAGAGCCCAAGGGCAAGCTCAAATGTGGCTCTCCGAAATAGAAAACCAGTGAGTAGGGTGGCAGGAAGAAGCCATACACCAGCTAGGAAGTTGGACAATCACATCATGTACTTGGGGTGATGGCCAGGCCAAATTGAAAACCAGACATGAGAAAATTGGTCCCACAGCTTTAGAAGCTTTACCAGACACAAAGAAGAAATTATACAGAGGTGAAACTCCCTTGCAGGCAGCGACTCTTGTCCCAGCATCTTCCTTGTTCCCTGTAGGCTTCTGGATTATTTAATTGATGTCTTAAGATAACCAGCTCTCCAGTTTATGCTCTCTCTGTGTATGCTGTGAGAGTAGCCAAGAGGAGTCTATCCACTACTGGACATGAATAACAAGCCTGAGCAGATTTCTTCTTTTTCAAGTCTGGATATAAAGAAGAAGTAGGAAAAAAAAACCCTCACAGGTCAGGGAAAGAAAAGATTCTGCATCTAAAAAAGCATGACCTAGCATTTAGAAGGTAGGGAAATGACCAAATTTTAAGAAGGATTTACTACAGAAAGCCAAGTAAAATTTATTTATCTATTAAATTTGTATTTTCAGCAAACTTCCAGAAAAAATAAACTGTATGAAAGAAAAGACAAAAGATAAAATAGGACAGCAGAATGAGATGAAAAAGTTGCTGGTTAAATTAAGGAAAGAACATAAGAAAACTAAAAATGGCCAAAAAGAATTTTAAATGGTTTTAGAAGCAGTAAAGAGCAGAGTCTACTTGGTGGAAAACCCAGTTAGTAATATTGAGAGCAAGCTTAAGAGGCTTTCACATAATTCAGAGGAAAACACAACTCTAAAATGATGGGCAAAATTATAATGAATATGGAGGATAGTGAGCAGGAATTAAACATGTGGGTAATTGATGTTCTTAAGCTGATTGAAGATTTACTCTGCAGATCAAAATGACTCACTCAGTATCAGACAAAATCAGTGAAGGGAAACTAAAAAGCTGGACATATTTTGATGAAAATGTATTCCATGTATAAAAAATCACTGGTAGAATGAAAACATTCCAAAATAAAGGAAGATAAAGAAAACATTAATGTATAGAAAAAGATAGAAAATAAACATAAAATAGAAGTAAGTCTGAGTACATGTGATGTATAATAAATATAAATGAATGATATTATACTATTAAATAGCAAAGATTCTCAGTTTGAGTCATCCCTCCACCCCCCACTAATCAATCAATGTATATGTATTTTATTAAAGAAAGTAACTCAGTATATTTAAAAAAAAAAGTGTTGAGAAAAAGTTATAGCAATCAAATACAAAAAGGTAGCACAGTTGGCATATTAATATGAAAAAGTAGAATTTGAGGCAAAAAAAAGCAATCAATGTGACAAAAAGGGCTATTATCTATCCATAAAAGATAAAGCCTTGTTCAGTCAGGGCTTGATATGTACCAGACTTTGTCCAGGGATGGGGCTAATGTAAGGAATAAGCTCATCTCTTGTTACTTGGCTACAGAAAACATTCAGTACATATTAGGTATTCTTACTCCTGTTCTCTCACTTATTTTCTTCTTATGGACATGAATTATTTTATTTTATTTTAATTTTTTAAAAGATTTGATTTATTTATTTGACAGAGAGCGAGAGAGGGAACACAAGCAGGGGGAGTGGGAGAGGGAGAAGCAGCCTAATGACTGAGCCACCCAGGCGCCCGGACATGGATTATTTTAGTCTAGTGACGGTGATCCAAAGATAGATGGTATGAGAGAACTGAAAGAAGTTTATAAGAGCTTGAATGTGGAATGTGTGTCTGCATGTGTATATGTGTGAGTGTAAGTAAGGTTGAGAGGTCATGCTGGAGAGGTAAGGAAAAGTTAAATCATGTATGGACTGTGTTTAGGAACTTAGATTTTCTTCTATGAGCCAGAGGAGAACTCCTGAAAGGGGAATATCATGATGTGATTTATACTGTAGAATGATCACTGGCTAGAGTAAGGAGAATGTAATGGATGGAAGGCAAGGCCAGAAGCAGGAAGATGAGTGACAGGCTGCTGTGATGGGTCAGCTATTATCATGTGATTAGACAGGCCACGAGGTTGCATAAAGTGTATGCAACCAGTTCTGATGGGAACTGGACCAGGGTGCCTTGCACTGAGGATAGAGAAAAATGGATGGAAAGTTCCAAAACACCCAGGGAAAATTGACATTAAGAAAGACAGCTGAGGGACGCCTGGGTGGCTCAGATGGTTAAGTGTGCCTTCAGTTCAGGTCATGATCCCGGGGTCCTGGGATAAAGCCCCACATCAGACTCCCTGATCAGCAGGGAGCCTGCTTCTCCTTCCCCTGCTCATGCTCTCACATGCTCTCTCTCTCAAATGAATAAATAAAAAAATCTTAAAAAAAAAAAAAAGCTGAAAACATCAACAAATGAGAGCTGGTTTTATTGCTGATGAGATGCAAATAATGGTATACTTTCAAAATGACTTAAATATATTTAATATCTGAAGAAAATAATGAATAGCATCTATAAAAGTGATAATAAATTATGATACAGTGAATGAGTGGAAATGAATCAAGAATGGATACACCTGGGTACAAAATGAAAACAATTGGAATTATTGGAAATAAAACAGTTGAAGTTAAAAATCTCAATACATGGGATAAAATCTAGTCTAATATTGTCTGTTCAGAATCAAAGTGTGAATCTGTGCATTGGAAGATAGTCTCAAAGAATTCATCCAGAGCACAGCACAGATGGAGTGATGAAATACATGAAAAAGAAGGAAGATTTGTGGATAATAGACTGATAGGTCCCAGCATTTGTCTTAGAGTCTCAGAAGAAAGAGGAGAGAAGCCAGTGGAGAAGAGATAATCCGAAGAAATAATGGCTGAGAATATTTCAGAACAGAAGAAAGCACACACTGGGGTGCTGAACATGATTATAAAACAAAGCAATACTAAGGGACACATCAAAGTGAAGCATTAGAACATCAAAGGGAAAGAGAACATTTTAAAGCTTCCTAAGGATAAAGTCACTCATCTATGAAGTAGTGACAACTGGGCTGAGATCTGACTTCTTATCAGCCACAGGACAACAGGACAGTATCTTTAAAATGCTGGAGGAAAGAAAGAAAGAAAGGAACGAAGGAAAGAAAGAATCCTTTAACCTAAAATTCTATACCCAGAGAAGCTATTGGCAAAGACAAAACTGTTTTCAGACAAAAAAATGAAGGGAGTGTACCACTCACAGACTCTCCCTGAAAGAATTACTAAAGGATGTACTTCAGCCAGAAGAAAAGAGAAACCAGGGGCACCTGGGTGACTTAGTTGGTTAAGCGTCTGCCTTCGGCTCAGGTCATGACCCCAGGGTCCTGGGATCGAGCCCCGCATCCGGCTCCCTACTCAGCGGGAAGCCTGCTTCTCCCTCTCCCACTTGTCCTGCTTGTGTTCTCTCTCTTGCTGTCTCTCTCTCTGTCAATTAATTAAATAAATAAAATCTTAAAAAAAAAGAACAGAGAAACCAAAAGAAGAGATGCAATTAAAAAGTGGCCAGAGTGCCTGGGTGGTGCAGTCGGCTGAGTGTCTGACTATTGGTTTTGGCTCAGGTCAGGGTCATGGGATCGAGTCCCACATTGGGCTCTGCGCTCAGTGAGGAGTCTGCTTGG